ATAATAATAATAATAATAATAATAATAATAATAATAATAATAATAATAATAATAATAATAATAACAACAACAATAATTATTATTATTATTATTATTATTATTATTATTTTTAGCAAAAATTAATATAAAGTAATATTATCAAAGATTAAAATTTGCATCAATATAACAAGATTCAAAACAGCTTAGATAATTTTTCTCAAAAAGATCATAAATAATTGATCTGCAAGGGTTGCGATCCTTGCAGTTTTTTATATTAGAATTTTATTACTCGATTTTTAATTTAGAAATATGTGAATGAATTATGAATAAACATAAGCTTGTATTTTCTGGCATATTTGTTAGAATACTAATTTGTTACAGAAATGCTATTGATTTTTTAAAAAATACCATATTCTTTAGTAACTGACACAACTTGGACTGGGGTATGGTGCTTAATTATGATAGTTTTTAGTTAGTGGACTAATAAATTGAATTCTTGTTATACCATCAAAGTTGAGGTGGTGCTTATTCATGGGCGGTGTTTATTTCCGGAAGAATACGGTAATTTCAAAAAATCTTTCAGAAATAAATCCGTTTTAATCCATTTTGTAAGTTTGAGCTCTAAAAAAAACCTTGGTTTGAATGTTTTATTACGAATTTTTAATTCATGAATACAAATTGTTACTAAACATTCAAACGGCATTATTTCAGTCAAAAATTATTTTTTCATTATAGTTTCCCTCTTCCTCAAAAACGTGTTTGTAAGCAATAATGCAGTTTCTCATTATTATATTGCGATTTCAGAGAGACAAAGTTTACCTTATCGGTCGGTATTCTAGTTTTAACTAATTTCACAGTCGAAGAAAAAACATTTATAGAGAATTAAATCTTATTTGAGAATTGAGATAGAGTACACAAAGATCCTGAATTTCTATATTATTCTGGAATTATAATCGATTTAACGATATATCTTGATCCTTATTTCCCATTTATAGGAAATAACAATGTACTTGCCAGATGTCATATTAATATATATCGGCCAAAACCTATTCCTCGTTAAATTTTTTAAATATCATCGCTAAATCTCATAGTTGCTAAATTGAGCCTTGAGTGTACATATATGCTTAATTTGTTGCGATATCAATAAAATCTGTAGAAATGACCAATATCACGACTGCTCGAAGATAACGAGTATCGTTATCTACGCATAGAATTTGATCATCGTAGAGAGATTGGACAAAAATTGAGAAATAAAATAGACGTATGTAAATATCTGAAACGCATTAAATGAAAATATATGTCACGTTTTTCGTAATGTTCCCTTGCTCAGTCATGTGCTTTTTAATGGCACCTTTGATGTTAACAATCACTTGTCATAATATCTGCTGATTCAAATACCCGCTTTACTTTTATTTATATGTAAGCCTAGGTTCATTGATTAATGCAATTTCATATTATCAACAAAATCAACAATTTCATTTCGACTTGTGATTGGATTATTGATTTTTATTCTTAAAGCTATCTTTCTCAATTCTTCATTTCGAGGTTTGAGTAAATACATTCATATTTGTCTTAATTTCATGACAAAGGCCAAAAGTATAATGAGGACAGCATATGATAAGTTATTTTTCGCTAGTAAAATTTTAAATTCTTAAAAAAATAAAATAAAAATCCTCTTAAAGAATTATACAGTGGGGGCCAGCATAAGACATCCACTTATAATTTTTTAAAAATAAAATCCCCTTACAGAATGATAGCTTTATTAAAGAGCCATTAATCTGTAAAGAATTTTTTAATAGTTTAAAATTTTACTAGCGAAAAATAATAACTTCTGATTGGTCAGTTTAATTATTATGTATAAGATCTACGATTAAAAATTGGTTTTGGCGCAGTATTGGATATCTACTGTCCCCCACTATAGCTTTATTAAGATCTATTAATTTATAAGAGGATTTTTATTTTATTTTTTTTAAAGTTATAACAAGTGCTCCCACTGTATCTACATTTTTCGTTAAAGATTGCATATTGCATCTTGATAGTTTTATTATTTCATGTAAACGTCAATTGAAAACTTGGAGATCAGATCGGAGTTTAGGAAGATTCTTACCAGAATTCTAGGTAATAACTTTTTCTTACAGAATGTACTTTATATTAGTCAAGTCGGACTCTTAGTGATCACATCCCTATAATATACCGTAAATCGCGATCTATAATAAGTACTCCTAGTAAAAAATCTAAAGAATTTAAACCTCAAAGCTAATAAATTAGTAACTAAAATTTTTAAGAAATTACACTGTGAATTTAAATTTATTTATTTGTGAAACAAATATTTAGTTCTTTCAAAAAAGTCGGATTATTGAGGTTTAAATTTTTTACAAGAGGTACTTGCTATAGATCGCGATTTACGGAATTATCGGAAATCCCACTTTGATACCCTATATCTCAAAATCAAGTGATCAAGATGTCCGTCCATTTGAGACAAATCTAATGGGATATCTTCATTTAAATTAAATCACTGTATTTTGAGCTATTAGCTACCAAAGTGATAGATTCGTTTTTGGAATTTCCGATAATACCGTATATGACTGAAAATAAGAACCTCGAAAATCGTCATTTTGAAAATAAAAATCAAGAAGTTTCTTATTTTTGAGACTTTTTGATTTTATGTTCCGATTTATTATGCAATAATGCACACTAACATAGTGATCGATAAATCCATTTCTACCCAAAGAAATGTAAAAACACCTACTGGTAATATGAAGATTTCTTTGAAGCGAATATGTAGCTTCCGAAATATTAATTATAGCATTTAATAAATGCATAATGCAAAAAGTTTCTTATTTACAGGACTTATCATTTTATCGTAATTGCCTTCAAAAGCCAAAAGTTTCTTATTATCGGGAGTTTCCTATTTTCAGTCATATACGGTATATTTTAAGGGTATGTATGTTAGAAGTTAATGAATGTAGATTGTTAAAAATAAGTAAAACCAATTTCCCTGTCAAACGAGCATAAACGGAATTATACATTAGGTATTAATGAATAACTATATCAAACATTTGTGCTAATTGAAATTCATTCCATCACGTGTGTAAAATATAAAGTTTCAACCCTTGAACTTTTAATGTTAACAACAGTCTATTAATAAAAGTTCGTTATATCTAACGTTTATATAATAAATCTAAAATTTAAGGTTCGTTATCTACAGAGTTGACTGTACTCAACAATACACTGCATATCGTACCCGAGTATTTATAATAAATCCTCTTAGAGATTCCCTCAGGTACTTTGTACGAAGGAGGTTGGGAAATTGTGTTATGGGTATGCAAATCCTGGGAGTATTGCATCAGGGGCACAATATGCAATTCACAGTCCGCACGGAATGTAATGGAGGACAGATTTTTAACAGTGTACATCTGCTGAAATGTGCAGAGATATTATAAATTACCTAATGATTTATGTTAATATACACTATATTTTTCCTGTTTACTTGTTACTAATATGCAATAAACCTCCTTCTTTGTCATCAAAAAAAATTAAAAAAATTGATCCTGAGATCTGAAAGAACTTTTGGCAAGATCTCACTGCAATCCTGCAAAAATTCTTAAATTATACTCGTATTCATTCTTGTAAATGATATAATATTTATCTTTACAAAAATACTCAAATTTCAATTATTCACTTCTTGATTATTAATATAAAGTCTCTTTTTCATGAAATTTTGTGGCGCAGTATGCAATATGCATTTTGCTATGGTTTTCATGGGGTCTGGCTCTCAATTTTATACAAAATATATGGGTTATCTTTCAAAGTGGAAACATGAAAAGAAGCGTTAATGTAATGGTATAACGAAAAGTTGAACATGTTGCAAAAGGTTTTCACTGTACTAGTGAAAAAGAAATTAAAGATACATTTTTGAGAAGGTAGTTCTTATGTGTATCATCCTTATGCCAAATTGCATTCAAATTTGCATTAATGCAGAGAGAAGGCATACTATACTAAATGCAAAGGGTATAAAGCCCTGTTTATAAGCATTCTAAAAATGTTTTTATGTATGATTATTATTCTAAATTTTAATTAAACTGATAACCTATTTTCATCAGTTTTATATCGTAGAACACTCATACAATACTCCCTCACCAAAAGATGCAGCTTGCCACATTTATTACATGTAGTATCGTTACAATCATCGTAATACAGATCGTCAGTTCAGATGTTGGAGGAAACGCTGCGTGTATAAATGTTGACTCCAGATTGGTCGAGTTCTTTTTCACTGGTTCTTGTCTTTAGCTTTCGAGTATCAGATAAAGACTCTATAGGATGGTTAATATAAAACTCATCCTTAAAAGAAAATCATGCATTACCACTGCGTTGAAAATTTTACACGGACAACTTTTTCCTACGCATTATCTCAGCATGCTGAAATAGCACATGACGATAACATGGTATCCTTTGTTCTCAAAACCAGTTGTTTCGAGAAAGATAAAGCACTCATCACCTTTCTCAATATGCGCCATGTCGTACAATCAATATATGAACGAAAACTTATCAAATTCGAGTTTGAGATTAATATTACGCAAAGACACGGAAAACACAACTTGAAGAAGAATATAACGGGTTTGAAACTACAACGGGCAAAGATCATTGGAAAATATGTTACAAACGAGAAAGAGTGCATTAAGTTTTTATGAATCATTGATTAGCTTTCAGAAGCATTGGAAGATTAGAGAAATATCAGTGTTTACCGATTATTGTTTAGAACAAGAAACCCGAATATTATTTAATTTATCTGATAATTCTTTCCGGATTCGAATTATTCAAAGGAAAATAAATGGTATTGTAGCTGAATCGGTAGCTGCTTCGATGATGTATTTCCCTACATGATGGTATTCCTTGCTAGCAGTATTGTCGCCATTTGCAGTTCGCGACAAATTATAGAGACCTTCGAGTTGCATAAATGCATTCTGCCCTTGTATACTTAACATATATATTTCAAGATATTCGGGGTTTAGTTTTAAAGCCAAAATTTAACACGCATAACTAATTGTGGTAGATTATAACAAATCAAATCGAGTGGGTTGCTAAAATAATACACTATCCCGAATAAAAGTCCAGATTTCGTTTTAATCTGGTTTCGTTTCAACGCTAACATTAAAAATATTGACGATATGGCATATTCGGAAATCGATAACGATAATATGAAATTTAGCCTATTTACTGTTCTTTAATAAATACTATTAATACTTTTTTCATTTTATTGCGTGATTTTCGGAAAATTTTCTTATGAATCTGTTGAATTTCTGGGAGGACAAGGTATTACGTTTGAAAATCAAGAGTCATTCTTTGTTGACAGATTTCACGGGAGGAAGGCGTTAATCAGCTGATAAAACGCACTGACACTCGGGACATGAAAGCTCGGAGTCAAAAATTATGACATATTATAATATTAGTTGTTACAATTTCTCGACTTAGCACTAACCAGTAATTCATTATTGTATTAGCTGTCTAAATCTTTTTGATTCTTTAATCAATTAGGGATTAATTTAACAAAATCGAGAAATTCTTTTAAGATGCGAAGTTCTCGAATCCGAGCGGAAAATTTCCTGAGGTATTTGTTTTCAAAATTATTTATCAGATGATGGAGGAGGCTTTCCGAATATCTTAATCTTTTGTGTGATTTTTTTGGTCCAATGATAATACAAGTTTAGTTAGCAGGTACATTGATTTTTTTTATTTTTTGTGTGTGTCTGCGGTATCCGCACGAAAAAACGAGAATTGTGATTTTGCAAATGTATTAGCAGTAGTAATAGAAAACTGTGTGTTTGTAAAGGATTATTAAGAATTCGGAAAGGGGAAGAATGACCGATTTGATGAGAAAATTAAATTAGATTAAACAAAGAAATAAAAAGGCATACATATATATATAATTTTGGTGATTAATTTCCTAGACTTTAAATATAAGTAATTCATATGAAAGTTATAATTAATTAATTAGTGACGAATCCAAAAAACAATAGAAAAAAACGCACGAGAAGAGTGATGAAAGGGTTGAAATGTTCCGTCGTTCACGCATCATGTAATGTACGTGTTGTTTTAGTAGCGGCTTTCCGTTGCCAAGAATAATGTTTTTTATGGGTAGTATAGAGATTGTAAGGATGTCGATTAAAGGAGAAGAAATACGGATTGTCTAAATCACAAGACAACCAATGTACTAAGGTTAAAATAACAATATTTCTTGCCTGAAAAAAGCTCATACACACGATAATAACGAAAATGTAGACACAGACATCTGACGCGTGAATGTTGTTGCGAAATAATCTCAATCGGACAGAATAAAAATGTAAATTCGAAAGAAAACGAATATTAAAAATGTACAAAAGTGGGATAATTTGGAAAATGGATGGAAAAAAGGTAACCATTTATTAATTTGTGTTCTTGCGTGATTTTTGGTATGTATGAAGAAACAATACAATCAGTATTTCGAAACCAGTCGAAAAGAGTGAAATAAAGATAAAATAATATGATATAATTAACATATAATATATATAACTTGGAGTGGATGTTTAACATCGAGAGGTGGGAGGAAAGTGAGAGACATCCAACCACCTCCACCAAACTATATATATATATATATATATAAAATCTCAAGTAAGTTTGTGATATAAAGTGCCAGAAGTCAAACAATAAAAAACTTAACATATCTATATACAAAGAAAAAAATTACATAAAGTGATTTTAAGAAAATATTATAAAATTAATAATATTAATGCGATTATTTCCCAAAAAAATCACATAGTATCTATGGTTAATAATCAATAAGTCGTTCTCAAAAATAATAAAAAAAAGTTCCACTTCAATTATTTTTTCCTAGATACCAGTGTTAACCATGGACGTATAACCAAATGAGGAAGTTGGCGGAAGTGGTTGATGAAGATGATGACGATGATTTGATGACGGTGGTGAGGATGAAATAGCATTATTTGGGATAGGTACTGGTAATCTATTGTTTGAAAATGCGTCATAACGATGATGGTGATTATGACCATTTGTTGTCGAAGGAACAGCAGCGGTTGGTGTTGAAAACGAGGAGACGATATTTGGTAGTCGTTCGTTATTTGATTTGTGATTCAGTAACGATGGTGGGGAAAGAGGAGACGAAGAATTTGAAATATTTGAACCCGAAACGTAACCATGATGAGAAGAATGAAAATAATCTTCATTTTGATGAATCGAAGAAGATGAGGGAGAAGAATGATAATTCTGTTGATGATGATTATGCTGTTGTAATTGCGAATAAGTAGAAGTGCCATTTATACTTTCACTGCTGCTATTAATTTGAGACCGTGAAAAGTAATCATCAACACCATTATTTCGATAATAGGATGATGAGCTGTCCAACGGCGAATCAGGCACAGATCGTTGATCTTGTTCCTCCTCATCTGAAGAACTCATACTAGAGTTACTCGACCTTCTTCCCATATTATGATCATTGCCAGTGCTACCACCGTTATTATTATTATCATCATTGGTATCCATCTCTTCAGGATTCATTCCTTGATCATCATCACCTTGAGCGCCTCCATTGGTCGCTGATGCTCTTGTCTTACTACGCCAACTTTGTCGTTTATTCTGGAACCAAATTTGTACTGTACGTGGTGACATACCCAACTGTTTGCCTAGCTGAATACGTAATTCCGTTGACGGGAAGAACGTGTGTTGAAAGACTTCATTGAGAACTTTAAGCTGATTAGCGTTTGCCCGTTTACGCTTCGCTTTGACCATTGATGTTCCATTTGACGGGTCATGATATGGTGAGGGTAAATGCTGAGGCATTGACATATGAGACGTTGAAGCGTATCCATTACCATTATTACTATTTGTATTAGCATTTGCCGGATAAACACCAGCACCATACGTTGAATAAGATGACCCAGGAGACGTAACACGAGATGCCTCTAAATTTCTTCCTTGAGCTGCCGGAGAATCAGAGTGACGTCTTTCTAAAAATGAAGCAGGAGGTAGTCGTGTAGCAAAAGGATTCAATGCAGAAGGTGCAAGTGGTGAAAATCTCATCTGCGATGTATCGAAAGAAGATCTTCTTAATAAATGTTCACGCTCATGCTCTTGTGAATTACCACCAGCATTATTCTTTGAGGACACATGTTGTTGTTGATAACGATGACCATCTTCTGGAGATGATGATAATGATAAATCTGCTTCTGGTTTTACCAATCTCGGTGACTTTAAGGATCTCTGCGAGTCCGAACGGACAGCTTCAGAAATTGCAGCAAATTGGTCGAGAGGAGTCCACGACTTATGTGGTTCAGCGTGCAAATGAAACGGCGAGAAATTATGATTATGATGATGGTGACGATGTGGATGATTACTATGGTTATGTGGAGAGGATGATGAATGTCTTGCTTCCGCTCTTAGATCTGGTACGGATGCAAAACTCCTTATTGGCGGTAATACTAATGGACCATTCGAGGAATGATCTTCGCTCATTCGTAGTCTTTTATGATGCGAGAATATTGGATTTGTCTCGTGATGATGATTAAAACTTTGTAGTCTATGACGTGGGCTTAGTGGTGATTGATGCTGTAGCGAGTAGTGAGAATGAGAATGATGAAGAGTTTTGAAATACGTATTCGAATTATTATTATTATTATTATTATTATTATTATTTGTCGTTGCTTCATTCTCAATATTATTGCTAATCGATGTGTTTGCACTTTTATTATCATCAGATAGTGGAGGAGAATTAGCCGGAGTAAAAGGAGCGCTTCGACCATTATTAAAGGGTTGATTTTGCTGCGATCCAACAAAAGATTCATTTTCTCCTAACTGATGATGATTACTACTACTACTACTACTACTACTATTATTATTATTATTATTCATAGCATGAGTATTAGAAGTAATACTAGTAGACACGCCATCCATCACATCTTTGTCGTCGTCATAAGAAGCATCACTAACAGGCGAAGCTACAGAAGCAGAAGCAAAATCACACAGTAAACTAGAAATATCAAGAACTGAAGATTTCCTTCGAGGAAGCGCTGGAGGGGTAGGCGGGGTCAGTGTATTGAAGGTATTATTTATTATTGTTGTGGTTGCTGCCGTATAATTTCGGGGTGTTTCTTCGTTCCTTGAGTGATTCGGACTTTCATTTTCGTCTCGACTAACAAGTTGAAGATTTTCTTGATTAATTCGTTCTCGGCGATAATCATCGCCGTCTTCAATCTCGTTGTTGGAATCTTCTTGTGGTGGTCGTAGTGACTGTTGTTCCAGTAAAGTTGTTGTAGAAGTAGAGGAAGTTATTGTGGTGCTGTTGTCATTTGTCGCCATTTGATTATTCTCATTGGCAGACGAACTCGTTACGGGTGTAAAGGAAACCATTAAGGGAAAACTTTAACTAAATTTTTTACTTTTCAATTCTTCTTTTTACTGACGACTACTGCTAATTTGGAAAAAAAACCAGTAAAGAAGACGTGAAAAAATAACGCGAAAGTGTGAGAAAGTTTGAAAGTGAGTGAAAAGGCGGTGATGTAAATGGGAGAGGTAAAAGTGTGTAGAAATGGGTTAGGAGGTTGGTTATAGTATATATATATATATATATACTATGTGAGTCTATGTACTGTGCGTTTAGTCTTAGTAAAATTTTAAAGTTTAATAAATTTTTTGTGTATACATATATGTAGTATAATTATATGATTTTTAAGTCCAAATTTTCTTTGCACAAATGATAATATAAAAAACTTGTGTTAAAAATAATGTATGTAAATGTATGTGTAATCTCTTTTGCCCACCTTGTTTTATTTCGCTCTATACGTAATAAATGTTTCTACTCTTCTTTCTTCCTGGTCTGTCTCTCTTACAAAGAGATGAAGAATTTACTGAACAGTGGTTATGTTGACGACAGGGAATGGATGAATGGAAAAAAGTTTATAAAAAGAAAAGAAGCAAATTTATATTTTTAATTAATTAATTAAGAATGATTTGAAATGTTGAATTGTAATAAATAAGAAGTCGTGTAGCGAAACGGACCAAATATATTATAAATAAATTAATATTTATTATTATTAATATTATATATATTATGTTTATATATATATATATATGTATATATATATATATATATATATATACATATATATATATATGTGTGTGTGTATATTGCCAGGAGATGCTGTTTTTTTAATGGATAATGAAATGCGGGAAAACGAGAGGGCGAGAAAAAAATGCGCCTTAATAGTAGATAGAAAGTCGAAAGAATGATGAGAAGTGTGAATGGTGGTGGATTACTGTATTTGATTATATTTATATAGACAAATTTTTTTGATAGAAAATATTTGGTATTTTTTAATAATTATTAATTAATTAAATTATTGTTTGATATCAATGTAATAATAATAAAAAAAATAATAATGATGCCAATAATAGTAATATGATGATGATGATTTGTTGATAGTAGACAAAAAAAACTGTTAAGAATGGTCCGTCCGTTCGTTCGTCCGGTGGATGTGGATTGACGGGATACGTAGACAGATAGACAGTCCAATGATGGATATAATTATCGATTGTAGTTCGTTTATTAATATTATTATATATACAATTAATAAAGAAGCAGTTGTATAAATAACAAACATTTAAGACATTAATTTAATTTAAATATGCTGTGTACGGAGTTTGTGGTTTGTGTAATGTGTTGGTTTTATTGTTTAATTATTTAATTATTTGATTTATTTGTTATTGTAAGATTGGTGACGAAAAAACGAAGAATATAAACGGGATGGATGGATGGTTCAATTTTCAGGAACGAGGGGGAAGGAGGTAACTTTCACTATTGAGTAAGAGTAACTTTATTTGACGATTTACCTGATTTGAAGATAAGATTATGAAGACGAACGAAGTCGATATGTATATCAGGCAATAAGGTATCTAAATTAATATTAATTAAAATATATTTATTTTAGGGTATATATATATATGTATATGTATATGTATTGGCATGTAAGGTATAGACACAAATGTGTGGTGTTTTTGTGTAAGGGGAAAAAATAAAGTAAGAAATAAGAACTTTGATGGGAAAGTCGGTTGATGATGTTATTATTATTTAAAAAAGGAAATAAATCAATCAAATCAAATAAATAAATAAATAAAAATAATGAATTGAAGATTAACCATAATAAAGAAAAACATCAACAGCAAAACGGCAGGTTATGTTTTGAGTGATTGAAATAATTGTTTTTACGTAATTTAAATGAATATCTTTTAGGTATTGCTATTTATTTATTTACGGGGAATAACATGACACACTGCATGAATCAAATGAATAGAATGAGCAAAATGATTAATATCGTGTGATAGATATGCGAACATAAAAAAAAAGTCAAATAAAGTTGTAGCGATACAATGGAATAAAGTTGAATCGAATGTATTAGATTGGATAAAGTTTAATACTGTTAGCTATTCACCCGTACTTGTGTATTGGTAAAATTAAACTTACCTCTTTCAAATGGCAACTTTTTCTTTGAATTACTGAAAGGGGATGCAAAGGGCTGACCTTTATTTATATTGATATGTTTACAATGTGTGTGATACTGATCGATTGTTGCGCGAATAAGAGGAGCACGGAAAGGAGGAAGAGTAAAAAAAAAAAAAAAAAAAAAGGGAGAAAAAATCTTCGGTTTTTGTTAATTATTATTTATTTGATTAATTAAAGGAAATATCGATTAATTAAATAGAAGTTGATTTTTTATTATTGTGATGGATATTAATATCAATATTAATAAACAGGTTTTCATAGAAGTGATGTAGCTGGTTGGTCTTGTTGATGATTGCTGATGAAATTAAAATTAATGAAAAAACCTATGACAAAATTATCTATGTTTTTAAGTTTCGCGTTAGTTCGCGCGCTTATTCTCGTAATATTTGGATGGGAATTTTGTTTTATTTGTGGTATAATGGCAGTAGCAGCAGGTAATCAGCAGGTAAAGAAAGAAGCTGTCAAAATATTTGTGTATGGTTTTAATAATAAATAAATATTACTTTTTTTAAATGACAATAATATCGATGACAATAATAATGATAATTATCCGTGTACGACACACACGAGAGCGGGAGAGAGGGATGTGTTGTTATTTAATATATACTTTAATAGTTTCTTATTCATCAATTAATTTATTCATTAATTTAAGTAAGAAGGATGGATGTTGATGATGCTGGACTGATGGATGGAATAAACTCTTAATCATTCTTTACATTCAATTAATCAATATCACATTCTAATATATTCGCTTCGCATTTAATGATTTAGTGAGTGATGACAGTAATGATGAGATGATGGATGTAGATGGATGTAATATTAGTTAAGGAGTAGGGGCCAATTTTTTTCATTATGCATTGAAAAAAAACTGATTGCGATGCATTAACCTTATAAATCATGCTTCTTATTATTAAATAAGAAGAAGGAGTGATGCATAATATTAGTGATGATAGCAGTTAATTGTATACACAGTATCAATGAATTTTGATCTCGATGATAATTAATTAATGTGCATCAGGGAGCTAAGGAAGACAATATCATGGGAAGGCGACCAACAAATAACTTCATTTATAATACCCTCAAAAAAGATGACCATTCCATCCATTTTCATCCATTCATCCCTTGTTTATTCTATATAATTACGTTGCGTTCAAACAAGATGCATATAATGATACCGTTTTTTGAACTTTTTGCCCGAGAGAGGAAATTATGTTTGGCGTGTGCAATGTCATCTATAGAAGTCGCATTTACTTTATCTTCGGGGATTTTAATTTTTTATCTATCCACATATATATATATATATACACACACACATTCGTACATACAGTATTACGTACATGTATGTATGTGCGTATATATGTATGTATGAGTTAATAGATCTATATCTCCCACTTTTCATTTTAGCGGTACAAAATTGTAGTTCTATTATTCAATGAATTGTTTAAATTGCTTAATGAAAGGTTGTGTATCTACATATGCATATTTTAATGTGTATATTCGCGTAACCAACGAAAAAAAGGATCGATATACATACATGCATAAAGTAATATTCTCTTATTGACTTTTTTTAAATAATGCAAGCAGTTAATATCTGGACATGTATAGAATTGGCTGAGAGAATAATAATGCAAGTACAAGGGAGTAATTGAAGTATAAGCAAAAACTTATGATGAGTAGTTGTGTATGTAGGGTTGATGTTATGTACATAATAATGAGTGTAAAATTGGGCTGTGCGAATAGTCAAGAATGATAACAGGTAAGAAATCCAGTAATTGGAAGACGAGTACATGTACAGTTTCGATTCATGTCCAAGAATATTTGTTTTTTAATTGAACCCCATCTCTATGTCAGATTATAGATTTGGTTAGATTTATATATAAAGTTAAATTAAATTAAATCATTTATTTGTTTGTTTGTTTAATAAGATTATATTAAAAAATAAAACTGTTTGTTTGAATGATGTTGATGATGTTTGATGTTGTTGATGATGTTGATTTTGATGTTGAGGTGATGGTGGCGGTTATCTTTTTAGGAGGAGGGTAAGTTTCGTGTGAACATGTACAACATATGGATGAATAAATTTTATTTTTTCGATTGAATTATTTTGAAAAAGAAATATTTTAATTTCCTAGAATCCCCCAAAATAATCTCTCTCGTCTAAAAAAAACGAACAATGGAAAATAATTCGTCATATTCTACCAACGAACAAAAGTTCTCTTCATTTTCATTCTAAATATAGTAATTGATCTACCATTTTAGCCAATGAAAATCAAGATTTGTTAATCCAATGATATTTAATTAATTTACTATAGCGAATCAGAAATTGATTCGCTAAAGTAAATTCTCACTCCCAATTAAAAAAAGCAATCATAAAAAAATCATTGTCAAAAAAGGAGTTCTTTCTTATTTCAATGATGCAACATCGTTGTCGTTTTTACTAAATAATTTAATGACCATGTAGTTTATTTTCGATTAATCATGTTATACGTAAATCTTTTATACCCCACAAATTGGCCCCTGCATTTCTTTGATTGTTGCTTGGCGGTATCTACACTAAATGCTAGCTACATATCTATTTATAGCATCGTGACACCCTGTGTGACGTATAAAAAATTAAACTAAAATTCGATTTTTTTTTCTGCTAAAAAATGCAGCAGAGAGGGAATCAAAAAAATAGATGCATAAATCAAATAATTTATTGGTTGCTTTGTGCCTTTATCTTGATAAAAAGGATGCCTTTATCTTGAAAAAAGGGACAAGCATAATCTGTGCATTATCTAAATGTTATTAATACATATTTTCCGAATATTTCTTAACGAACTATCAAAATTAAAAAGTTGAGATTTATTCA